GGCTTATGCTACCTCACTTTCCTGTATTTTCTTGTGCTTTCTACCCAGGGTGTTCCTTAAACACATATTATTTGAGCACCTGATATAGGCAAGTCCTTGTGACTTATGTATGAGAGATGGTGTCAAAACTAATAGTGTTTTCTTCACTTGAATTTCCTAGTGTAGGGAAGATTTCCACTTAAAAAGGGAAAAGTCATGTGTTTGGATCATTCTATCATTTAACAATATTAGATAAAGGAAGGATTATTGTGTTTGATTTATTCCTTTGTTAAACAATACACGCTGAATTATAGTATGTATGCATATATATGTACACATATATATGAATATACACAGTATACATCTAAACAGCCTGTATTTATGTATGTATATACATATACATGTGAGTACATATAAACAGCCCATAATTTCTACATGTCCATTTTTTTCATATTTTATACTTCATTTAAAAAATAAGAACACTATATTAGGAAGTTTAGTATTTTCTTACCCTCATCCCTTCAAATCTAGACAAGGCTCTTAGAGGTCTTAAAGCTCTAAGGGTCCGAAGGGATTTAATGGGGCCAAGATCTGAGTAGCCAAGAGTGTTTGCGACTAAAGTTACCAAAGAAACCTGTAAAAGAAAATGACATTTTCATTAATTGTGTCAATGAAATGATAAAGCATAAAAAGGAAAAGTCAATTTTGAAAGTCACTAAGAGCAGCTCTACAGGAACAATATGATTTTATATACGAAATATCTAGTCATTGCCTAAAAAAAATGGGTAAGATGGATATTTTTGTAAGGAAATAGGTTTTGAAGGTTAACCACATTAAAAAGAAATAATGGAAGTAAAGTAGGTTATTTAGTCTATCTGAATAGAAATCATACATATGCTTCCCCATTTTATAATCAATGGTTATATAATTGCTTATAAAATCTGAAAATATAATTATAGCAATGATCAAAATTTCAATTGAAATAAAACTCAGAGAAAAATGGAAGTGTGCGATTCTGAAGCTAAGTCATGAAAGTGTGGCATTCGCGTAACTAAATCTAAATCCTAGTACAAATCTTATTCAAAAACATTCTGAAGACTCATGATTTTGAGACGGAGCAAACTTCCAACAATATTGTTTCTGCCCTACAATTTCTCAGGATTGGCATCAATGATCTAACTAGTAATAATTAGTGGGAAAACAATTTCAATTACACTGTAGAGAGAATGAGGGCAAATGATTTCACTGGCTTCATAATCAACATAGTTATATATAAGAACTTCAGCATGTTAGACAGACCAGCTGCAATTACTGGAACCAGTATCCAAAAGAAATGTGTATTCTTATCATAAATTATCTCAGAAGAAAGAACATGGATAGAAATACAATCAGTATACATTTTCACAACAGAGCAATCA